TGGTGGCCAAGCAAAACGACTCATTCATGCAGAACCCCGTGCAACGCAGGTGTGGTAACTTGATCGTTTTCAGAAAAGCCCTCGTCGAACCCTGAACCCTAAGAATTACATCCGACGTCTCGACTACCATGCACAAAACACCGCAGCGTTTCCCAACAGGAGCCCGAGCGAGCTGGGAGCATGTTGTAGATGAAGCACTTGATGTACTCGGCAGTCGAGACCTGAGGCTTCACTCCTAAAGGGAGCAACTTCCACGCGATATACAATGAATGCCTCCACGCTAAAGCCCAACCGAAGCAGAACTAGGCTTCTAAGACTTGCGCAACTGCTCAGCTGGTAATTAGTAAACTGCCTTCTCTGACAGGCACTGACTGTTCGAATTTGATGCTTTTGTTCTTTGACGCTCTGCTGACGTAATGAAGCCAGACTGGACCGAAACATGCTCTAAGTTGCGAAATGCTGGCGAGTTGCAGTCTGGAAACGATCCTGCAAGCAAGAGATCTGAATCCGCTGCCCCTAACACTCTAAGCTCAATCGTTCAACCCTAAGACAGATATAACCTGCATAGCAACAGTCCCCAAGATAGATACAAAAACCTGCAAAGCAAGAGTCGAAGGCCAGGCTAGGCCAGGCCGAAGGCCGAGAGAGCGGCATGTGTAAACTGTGCGCGTTTCGTACAAAAGGTCAAGATGCACCCAGCCCGGAATGTCAGCATGTTGGTTCTTTTCTGCTTCGTCATGAAACACCCTACAGTAGTTTTCTTGCGCAACCGCGGCTTCCAGTTCTTGTCCACACCGTTTGCTTTCCTGCATTTTCCTGCACGTGCAGCCCATGCACGTGCGTTAGATGGCGGTGCTACGAGAGGCAGCACTTTCACAACTGCATAGTTTCGAAAGGCAATCCATGGGACCCTTGGTGAGAAGACAATGAGTTCTCTTCCACGGGCAACGAATTTATGGATGCCCTTTGCCTCAACGAAATCAGTGAACCGGCACAGCAGATCAGGAGTCATGCACGGCCTCAGCTGAGATCTCTCTTGCATACATGACATCCAAGCCTAGAAGTTTCCTTCCACTCCAAAAGAACAGCATCCTTATGGCCAGGATACTCCAAAACGCCCTTTTTTGCTGATGGCATCACAACCAGCTTCGTCTAAGCTTATATTCTTAAGTCTCAAGCCCGTCTCCATCCTCCCGTCCTGCGTGTTGAAATGCTTGTTCGGGTCGATCGTAGGATTGTGAATGCCGCCCACAACCCAACCAGGAGCGTACATGGGGCCCCTTCACAGCTCAGACTTGCAGCAGGCTCGGCATTTTCCAATGCTCACACTGGTTCTTTGCCAGAATACCGTGCACGAGGAATCCGAAAGAGATTACCTACAATGGCAACGAGAACTCAGGGCTTCTAGCCATGGTGCAACTGACTTATTGATGAACTCAAATCCAGCCCTTGCAGTGAGTGTGAGAGACACAGCTCAAAAGCAGCAGGTGGAAAGAGAACATAATGTAGGGGTTGTCACCCACACAACACAAACAGCAACCAGAGTGCCATGTGCTGATGCGCTTTTATGAACGGTCCCCTTTTGCCTTTGCAATGCTGCCGGATCCCTTTCATGTGAAACACAGATTGCTACTGCCATGCCTGCACCCTTTCTTCCATGCAAGTAGCAGGCTTGCCTGATAGGGTTCGTGAGGCTCCAGAAGTGATACGAACCGCGCCTGGCACTAAATCTTTCCATTACATTGAGAAGTGTGGGCACGTAAGAGGACCGGTTGGTATGTAAGGCGGCGCTGGTGTTGAGACATAGTATCTGTCTTGAAAATAATTGCCATGCTTATTGCTTAATCTACGGTAGTGCGGTTTTCCGGCGAACATCTTATGTTCGACTGCTGCACCCCTCGGGGCGTGGCATGTTGCCCTTGAGGTGTCCAAAGCTTTAACAACAGCACGCAAGTTTGAGACAGACTCACCCCTCTCTCTGATTACAATCCAGCCGGGATGCATCCAGCCATGCGGGCCCATAACCTGGCTGTCGCGAGGGGGCTTCTTACTGTTGTTATCACAATGTTCCATACTACTGTTTCTAGTACTACTTTTCTACCGTCAGCCTTCTACCAGCTCATGAGCGTTGCCTGCTCTTGTTATGATCTGACACCACCTACAGAGGTTTGTGGCCTCACTCAAGATCTGATTGGGCGCAGCAATGCTGGACAGCCATTCAATGCTTGATTCTCTAGCAAGGTACGACTAGTAGCACGGCAGTCTCCAATCTTAAAATTTGAGACAGTCAGGGATCTTTGGGGGAGCCTTGTTAGCATGCTTCTTGACTCTGTATCGCGAAGTGCCTGATGGATGAGGAGCTCCCTATTCTCGCAATCCACTTTGTTACTGATGCTTCTGCTGTTCCAATTCGTGTTGCAACACTACTTAGGATCCGCAGTGTGATGGTTGCAGCATTCCATGCCTGACTTCATGACTTGCGCGCGGGGCCACGCCTTCTCGCTGGTCTGCGGGAAATTTGGACCAATCGGCTTGATAGGACCTGGCCATGGAAGAACTACCAGGGACCTGAGAAAAGAAGAGACGTGCTGATCCCAAAGCAGAAGAGACCCCGAAACCGACGCTACAGCTGCAAGACTTGCGTGCGAAGTACTGAGAATTTTCAGGTCCCTACTCCACCAAACAGTGCCACCTTCAACCTCCGCCTAACGCCTGCAAGGATAATCTAGGCGTAGCAAAACCTCTTCGAGGTAGGGACTGCAAAAGGGGTTGTTACGTGATCCCTGGCACCTTTGGCCACAGCGCCGCGAAGTGGCAGCAGTGCCTGGCTCCTGGAGGCCCAAAAGGCGCTTGAAAATAGATTTGCAAGGATCAGATTGTGATAGTGACGCCTCGCCCATGGAAGAGGGGAGCTCTTGTTTTTAAATGGATCTTCACGCATTTGTTGGGATACTGTTTCGTCATTCTCGTTGCGCTAATCTTGCTCCCATGCAGGCCGAAAACCTCCACCCTGCCAATACTGTAATTCTGAACCTTGACACCTGAGCACCAAGCCTTTGGAATCCCAAACACCAACGTCCTCACACGTGCAAGGCCTCACCTTGCCGTGCCGCGTCGAAGGAGTCCCGTCATCAGCACAGAGGGTGGCCACCAGCCTCAATACTGTCATCACCGTCGTCATCACTATCATCACAATGGTCATCATCACCATGCCACTACACAACCTTGTAACCAATGCAAGTGGATGATTCTGGTATGCGTACTGACTGTTGTGGGCGGCGTCAGTGATTGTGGCGCTGGAGCAGGCCGCAGCTGGTGCAAATGATGATGGAATTGTGAAGTCATGGCCGCAGTACGTTGCAATAGCATGCCGACAGTACAAATGCAGGCTTGCGCGACAATTGGAACCTACAATTTTCACCACTCAGCAAGGTCTGAAAACATCAGACCTCCGTCAAGGATCTTTCGGAGCTTGTCCAACAACAATGGTGGCAAGAAGTGATGTTGTAGTTTTCAACGGAACACCGACATATCCAAAAGCTCGAGACAAGAACACCATCCAACTTGAAGCCTTCTAACAAAAAAAGCAAGGAAGTGTCAGAGAGGCAGTGCTGCTGGCTAAGGCCAAGGCTGGTCAACGTGACAAGTTGCACGCCCTGGAACGCGTCTGAGCCAATGAGCAGAAAAAAGCCCGGCGACAGTGTGCTGAGACTGATCAATTCGTTCTCAAGGCCCAGGACAAACCCCGCAAAAAGTCTGGAACTGCGTTGGCCTGGGTATCACGTCTCAAAATCACAGAAGATCCTGTTTCTGCGCGTCTGTGACAATGGTCCGAATTTGCTATCTGTGCAGTCAAACGAGTCCGTTCCCCATACTGGCAATGATGTCAAGAGGAAGCCCATGGCAGTATGAGATCAGCCAGACGCAACCATTGCACATGTAAAGCCAACCATACCCTCTGCGATGATCACTACTACGGACGATGCGACTGCTAGTACACGAGGGTTGAGGGGGTGTGTTGTCAGTTGCTTCTATCATTCACGTTTGTTACAACCGTTTGAAGAGATTGCGCTCACTATCTACCATCGTGGGCGCTGAGTGCCCCTGAATGAATTCATGAAAATCCATGCGAGACTCGAGACATTTTCGTGCCGAGTCATTTCAAGCTTGATGCATGCCATAACCTTTCCAGAAGAACATCTGACACCTTGCAAAACCAAATGTGAACACTTTTGTGGCTACATCCGGCATTCAATAAGTTCTGATCTTGAAGCCTCGAGAGGGGTGAAGCCAAAGCTAAACGCACAGATTGAGTACTGGCCCCAAGCCTTAATAGTACCTCCAAGTCGTCAGCCCAACAACGACTGTTGCTGTAGCAGCAGTATACCGTTTTTGAGATTCCTGGGTGATACAAGTTGACTCTTCTCCAACTGGAAGCATCACACAGCTCGAAACCAACGTCAGCAGTGCATGCTTTTCTTTGTGACAGCAGACATCTTTGGCTGCCAGCCTACTCGGCCTACAGCTGTCCAGCGCGTGTTCTCCAAAGCCGCCAAGACCCTTCTAATTGCTGAGGACCATCTGGTTGCTACATGATAGAGAGTGGTAGGCATATTTGACAGATCACCCTAGGGCCTCTGCTTCAGCTAGTTGAAAGATGGTTCTTCCTCAGACTCAGAGGGGCTTGGGAGTCTCTGCGTCTCTCGGCGGGGCGTGCCAGTTCTCTTCTTGAATGGCTTCGTGAACTGCACGCCAGATGCACTGCAGATTGAGAAAAGCCTCGGTGCCTAGTCGACGAAAGAAGCAAGGCACCAGTAATGGCAGCATGTCAGTGGATTGTTCTCCTTGCTCCGGGGGTTTCGATTTCGTCCCATGGAGAACCCTGGTAGCAAAGACCCGACAATACTAATGCCTCCGCATGATGACAAACCCTGCCTTCCAAATCCGACTGACTCACTGGCATGCCTGGGTGCTGAGCCTTTCTCCCACGGCAGCCAGGATCAATCTTCTGACGACTCGGAGCTCTCTTGCTGTACATCCTCGTCACTGTCGTCCCACTCCATGGCATCTTCCACTGTCTTCTCCAGGGTGAAAGTGCGGATGAGGTTGTCAAAGCCATCCTTATTTAGCAGCTGGGTCAGGTTGTGGCAGCCAGGTCAAATTTGGTTGCAAGAGGCGGCGCACTAGACAGACAAGCACGTGGACAAGCAGTGGCAGTCCGAGTGCAGAATGGTCCAGGCCACGCAGCTCAAGTGAAAATGCAGCGCTGATTGCAAAAAAACGTTGAATAAAGAGTCTCGCCGCCAAAATTACCCCATTTCAGTAGAAAGCACGCAGCCGAGAAAGATTTCATCATCCTGAACTTTTCTGGAAAGCGTCCGAGATGAGCTTGCACGGCCCAGAACAGCCAATTGTTGACACGTACATCCGCCTTTGCAGAGCTCAAGAAGAATGCGACTCCGAATAGCAGTGAGAGTGGGCATGATCCTTCTCCACATACAAATTCTAAAGTCAACTTCAACACCATCACCACTAGCGTTATCATTGGAATGATGCTTTGCTAGCATCTAAAAAGCAACAGTATCCATGAGAGTGCTGATGAAGGATTCTTGAGGAAGAGGCTGGCCCCCTGCCCGGCAACAAAAACAGCAGCGAAGGAGCATCGCAGCTTCAAAACTAAACTTTATGCTAAATGTGGCTAGGATACCATCCGGCCCGCGCCCAAAGCACTTCCAAGCCAGTCAAGCTATGCCAGGCCAGCAGCTGAACTTGGCTTTGCGGCGGTGCAGGACATGTTGGCATCTCATTCTGGGGATCCCTCTTTGGGTTGTTACACTCATGGTTTCTTGGACATGCAGTCTGGGCACTTCTGCTGAAGAGGGAGCAATTTTTCGCAACATGCTCAACACAACCGTTGGAATATTTGCCTTTGCCTGGCATCTGACCCAAGCACTCTCAGCTTGAAAATTCCCAAGCAACGCACTCGGATTTCCAAGCTCGAAACCGTACTCATGTCCTTCTTTCAAGGCGCGTCTCCCATCTCTGGACACAACCACCGCATGCCGCGTGGCTGGCATGGCCTGGCGCTTCGATTACGGCTGCATGCCTGCCCTTTGCTTGGAGATGGACATGTCAGCATTGATCGACAGAAAGTCATCTTACTGTAAACCTAATCGCACGCGAGCCAGTGCTCAGGAAAACAACATGTTTCCTGCAAGCAATGTGTCTTTCTGAAAATACCTAGGAAACGTGTAGGTCATTGTTATACGTGTTCAGCGCATCTTGCCTCCCTTACATCAAGGCATCTCAACCTGTTGTGAATAATACGGTGCAGCTTGGAGACGACTTTGTATTAAACAGCTCAAACAAGCAAAGTATTGAGAATGCTGATGCGAATGCCATACCAACAAAAATTCGGAGGAAACGCGAATCCGAGCCGCAGCGGAAATGATTTCTCCAGAAGCCACTTTCGACCTCAGATAAGGTGCACTATGTAGGCTTTTAGATCTCGAAATCTGGGCAAGTAAGAGGATCCTTGTCGTGATGATCAAGGCAGCATGGCGCAAGGCACCCATTTTTGTAAGCTACTTGGCTGCAGAACCATCTCGAATTCAGCCAGAATGGGGTCTTAAGCTGGGAAGAAGGCAGGTCGGCTGGCGAGCTTTGTGCGAAGTAGATGAGGTGCTTCAAGAGCCCGCAAGCGCCATGGAAAGCATAGCTCTGTTGTTATTCTTCTTCATCATCCTTCTTGCTTCCTGTTTTGCCGTGTTATTCCTCTTATGTGTCCTTGTTATTGGTATTTCTTATTCTTGGTGGTGGTGGCGGTGATGGTAGTGTATCATCATTGGGGCCATTCTTCGTTGCAGAGGTAAGATACAAACAGGAGACGCACATAAGATGCGTTGCATACATCATGCGCCCTATGACGCATGTGCAACATGCACAACCTTTATCACCCATATTGACAGCCATGACTTTCATTACAATCACACTCGACAAGGACCGCTTTCTGCAGCAGCTTTGGGGTGGGTCCCGATGTACCACGTTTAGCTGAACTTGGTATGCCATGTCGGTAATTAACTGCATCGTACAAAGTTCATGAGTTTTTGCACACAGCGCAATCAAAGTCTTGAATCTGAAGGACGACCCTACATGCCAGGAGATTGGCTACATGGATGAATGCATCCGAGGATCAGCGCGCGGCAGCTGCCACCGCAAAGCAGTGCCACGACGCCGTCTACTCCACCCACAACCACCTCTGCGGCACTTGCAGCTATGCTCGGTGTCCAGGACGACCGCATTGGCAAGAGCAATTCAACTCGAACATTGTAAAATCGTAACTGGAACTCATCTTCAAAGGAAGCCTCGATAAGATGTCTGATAATCGAAACCAAGCTAGACATCATATGAGGACCCAGGGCACCGTGCTGGCTACTAATTTGCTTGGAGTTCGTAGCATCCGCGAGCTGCGTAGAATACTAGGCTTCATGGCCAAGACGGAACACCAGTAGAAATTGTTTGGGCTACCATTCTTGCATATTCTGCAGGCGAGGGTCATAGTTATGATTGGTGATCGTCACCCTGAATTCCTACCTTCTTGGCCTGGCGGCCCGGTCAGCACTTTGGACCAAGAGGAGGGCATACAAATCCTGAACCCCCAAGGCCTAAACTTGAGAGTTCGTAAACAGAAGGGTAACCTCTGCGCAGCCCCGACTTAAGGCCTGCATAGTCTCTGCAGTCAGAACTGTCTTTGGCCAGCTTCTTGTCTCCAGCGCTTCTCGCAGAGGCGCCTGCAAAGCAGAAATGTTCAAGCATCAGTATGATGGGGTTCCTACTGCTTTAGACTTTGAATGCGTCCTCTGAACAAAGAAAAAAGAGAAAGCCTGGGCTCCAAATGAACAATTCTTGAAATCTGAGGATCCCTGTAGGGCCCATCTCAGGTGCGCAAAAAGCTCAACATTGAAACTTGCATGCTAAACTGGGGTACCCCTTTCTGCCTTTCACAGCTCACATTAAACCGCAGGCCTCACCTTCCGGAGTCACAAGTGCGGGTAATGTCTAGTCTTTGCTGTGGCTACGCCAGCTGCTGGGGCGTTGGTCCATTCAAATCCATTCCAAAGCAAACTGCGTATGTCTGTATGAAGAAACAGCGCTTGCAAAACAGAATTCAAACTTCAAACAGGCTGTGCCCGTGCTGCCACGACAGCTTACGATTTGTAGAGATACGGCGGCTGTTTTGTGGCTGAGGAGCCCTCGTGATCCGCTGTCATGGTCTGAAATCCTTACACTGCGCTTTTTATGGATTTCCTTCAAATATCCGACCTGATCTCTGCGTTGATTCCCGCAAACATCCTCGCTTCATCCCCCTTTTGTCCATGAAGCACTTACCGGATCAGCCAAAACTCAAACATAGTTCATAGCAGCATACACTCCCGCCCTGTACAGGCTCCAGGATGCAATTTCCCGATAAAAACCTATGTGAAAGCCGCAAGGAAAAGCTAGTCAATAAGGCTCCTCCATGAAGACCCCAAGCGAGGCGCCCGCCACCTTGCAGCCAGCTGTTTCATAGTTACTTGCACGTAAGGACCATGAGGTTGAGGGTTGAGGTCTTGAGACTATAACCCAAGTGTTGCAGGTGTGGGGGGGTCGTCTAAAGAGCCTGGCATCCTCTTTACCGGGGTTATGGTCCTTTTGCAAAACTTGCTTCTTGCCTCACCACCTCTGCGCTGCATGGATACTTCACTAGCACATATACACCTGCACGCACTAGTTGAGAATAAGGTTCTGGGGTGAATGACGAGTATGCATCGTCAGCTCTCGTTTAATGTGTTGTTCCCAAGAATTATGTCGTTGGTAAGATGGTTGTGATGACACAGACCCTCAAGTTTGGCTCTTGTATACTTATGTCATTTGACGGGCACAGCGTCCATGTACTGAAGCCACTCGAGTGACCATTTTCGGAAGTGGCCTACTGCATCAGCCAAATTTTGCAGCATTGGAGTGTGTCAGCATTGCTGTCTGGGACGGGTGCGGGTACATAATGAGATCTCGAGCTTGTAGAGTACTTATGTCCCACTCCCCTTCCTGGGGACATCTACGTAAAGATTCATACGAGCGAAGAACTCTTATCCTGCAAGCCGTGAAGCCCACATGCAAGGATGGAACTGAGGGGGCGTTGCTAAAGCAGATCGGAGCTGCCTGAAACAACCCTGCACCCCCCGCAAATAAAGCGCTATGAAGTCCCATGTGATGCCAAAACACTTCACTACTGTACCTCATAATATAGGCAGGCCTGGCAAGTAATCTGCTTTAGGATCGTGACAATGGCTGACGACTCCTTGCAAGGACTGTCACATCGCTCGAAGTTGGGCGCGTGTGCAATTCAGTTCACGGTCTGGGGCGTCGTAGGCTTGAGTCCAAAAGTGTTGGGCTTGCTGCTGATCGCTTAGACGCCGAGTTTCAAGACTAGTCTGTGCAAGGGTTATCTGCGCCCTGGTTTCTCGAAGTCCTGTCCAAACGTCATAGTTAGGAGTCAAACAGGATATGGTCTCACCTCACAATTTAAAGGTAGCTTTGCACGAGGCTTTTTGACTAGGATCCTGCAGTTTTACTTGTCAAGACTCTCGTGCTTACCATCGTTATCACACTGTTGCTAACACTGCTACGCACGCAGGATATGAGCAGCGCCAACAACTAAAGTGGGCATCGTAATCTTCATCATACTATCAGTATCACAGGCCAACAACAATGATACAATCAATAGTAGGCATGACGCACGGAAAGCAGAGCAGACATAACAGCATACCATGACCTGCCAAAGGCCCTGCAGGCCTGGGCGGAGATTGACAGCTCTACCTTTGGCAAGCCAAGGTCTTGGGCTTCACGGCAGGGGTCAAAAGCTACCATAGTCAAGAAACACAAGGCGGAAGGCTGCATGCCTTCAAGGGAAATCTGAGACGGTGCTTTACAAAACATATAAGGTAACCTATATGTCCACCGGTTTGGGCAGTGCGAGATCTAGGCATCTCAGGTAGGCGTCTGGCATGGGCGCAGATGGAGAGACTTCTCACGAAGTCGCAGGGAGGAGGGCTTGGAGAATAGATTATTTCGCAGACGTCAGAAGTTGCTTCGAGTCTGCGCAGGATGCCGCTATGATGATGTAACGTGCTAAGACAGAGGTCAACATGGCATGATTCTCCCTTGCGGATAGAGACAGGCTTGAATTTGGGCAGTCCTCAACCCTCGAAGACTCATTGGACAGTACTGTGTGCTCACCACGGGAGGATGTTGATTACCCCAAACAAGTGAATGTTGCCTCCTTGGATCCCTGAATGAGCTGCAGCCTGGACACATCCTACATCCATCCCCTGAAAGCCACGTGACGCCACATGGTTGCAAAATTCTGTCTGCGCATCGGATTCAAGCGG